AGACAGAGAGATACAGAGAGACAAAGGGGGAGAGAGGGATACAGAGAGAGAGAGATACAGCGAGAGAAAGAGGGAGAGAGGGATACAGAGACAGAGAGAGAGAGAGGCAGGGCCCCCCGGGATGATCAATGTGGCCAGGTGGCCAATCACATGAGCCTGCAAGGGGCAACACTTTGATGGAGACGGTGCTTATGTGATGAGACGGTCAGGAATATCTCCTACCCAGAGATAGCACCTGGTTTGTTGATGGGAAAAGATGGAGTCGGGTGGACCAATACGCATTGGCCCTTCAGAAGAAAGATGTATTCTCAGAGTAAGAAGATCCAGAGGGGGGTTTGACAGAGTCCCTCAGTGAGCCAAGTCAGTCTAAGGAGGAATTCCATCTCTGAGAGAGTTTTTATCCTGTGCAATTCTCTCTAACCAGAGAATGGTGGTGGAGACTGGGGAATTGATTAGATTCAGGTCTGACTTAGACAGCCTTTTGGCTGAGTGAAGTAAAGGCTAGGAACAGCAATTGATCCCACAGTCCAGGAGAGTGTGTCCATCCTCACCGTGCCATCATGGATCCCCGTCCATTGGTGGGCACTCTCATCCCGAAGAGAAACAGATTCGATTGGAATCAGGAGCATGGCTTTCAGATCTTCCAGCCCGCACTACAACGCACTCAAATACATCAACACCATTATCCCCTCATCTTCATCTCCCTTTGGCATCTCTAAAACGCAGCTAACAGATCCTACTCTGAAACACAGTCAACGATCGAGCTCCTCACCCCTCGAGAGGAACAGAATTCCAAATAATCTCCAAACTCTGATTGACAGAATTCCTCCTCATCTCAGTCCGAAATGGTCCTCCAGTCTGAGGAACGCTGCATCAATCAAACACTGGGGCGAATGGGATCAAAGGTTATGGGGAGAAAGCAGGATAAGGCTATTGAGTTGTACAATCAGCCATGACAGTGGAGAATGGAGGAGCAAGCTCGAAGGGCCGAATGGCCTCCTCCGCTCCTATCGTCTATGTTTCCGCGCGTCCCAAAATCTCATGGGAAGATCTAACTGTTTTATAGTGTGTGGTGCAGATACTCTGAACAGTACACCACGATTGGATCAGTCCCCCAGTAACACCCCAGAGACAGAGGCAGTTTAAGTTAACTCTACATGAATGGCAGGGCATGCCATCGATAATAGTGTGTCATAGCTCAGTTTTACAACAGGGACTGTTGTCTGTGAACCAGCAACTTCATAAACCAAGCTAATAATAGAAAGGGAAAGGTTAATCTTTCAACTCAAGGACACTCAGCGATGTTTGCTCCTTGAGTAAGATAATGATTCTATTCATAGCAAGATAAAGAAGCAGAAAAATGCCGACTCAGTCAGGCTCACAGCACTAAGTGAAGAAACTAAGCACCTGGTGGAAATACTAGTGTGTCACAACAATCCACGAATACAAAGGACACAAGATAAGGGCAGCGACATGGGCATTCCATATACGCTCTCCCTCCTGTCTGCTCCCAGTCCCTATACCCTCTCCCTCCTGTCTGCTCCCAGTCCATATACCCTCTCCCTCCTGTCTGCTCCCAGTCCCTATACCCTCTCCCTCCTGTCTGCTCCCAGTCCCTATACCCTCTCCCTCCTGTCTGCTCCCAGTCCCTATACCCTCTTCCTCCTGTCTGCTCCCAGTCGCTACACACGCTCCCTCCTGTCTGGTCACAGTCTCTATACCCTCTCCCTCCTGTCTGCTCCCAGTCCCTATACCCTCTCCCTCCTGTTTGTTCCCAGTCCCGACTCCCGCTCCCTCCTGTCTGCTCCCAGTAGCCACACCCTCTCCCTCCTGTCTGCTCCCAGTCCCTATACCCTCTCCCTCCTTTCTGCACCCTGTCCCTATCACGTACTCTTCTGTCTGCTTCCAGTCCCTATACCCTCTCCCTCCTCTCTGGCCCCAGTCCCTATACCCTATCCTTCCTGTCTCCTCCCATTCGCTATACACGCTCCCTCCCGTCTGCTCCCAGTTCCTATACCCTCTCCCTCCTGTCTGCTCCCGGATCCTATACCCTCTCCCTCCTGTCTGCTCCCCGTCCCAATACCCTCTCTCTCCTGTCTTCTCCCAGTCCCTATACACTCTCCCTCCTGTCTGCTTCCTGTCCCTATACCCTCTCCCTCCTGTCTGCTTCCTGTCCCTATGCCCTCTCCCTCCTGTCTGCTCCCAGTCCCTATACACGCTCCCTCCTGTCTGCTCCCAGTCTCTATACACGGTCCTTCCTGTCTGCTCCCAGTCCTTCTCCCCGCACCCTCCTGACTGCACCCAGTCACTATACCCTCTGCCTCCTGTCTGCTCCCAGTCCCTATTCCCTCTCCCTCCTGTCTGCGCCAGTCCCTGTACATGCTTCCTCCTGTTTGCTCCCAGTTCCTATATATGGTCCTTCCTGTCTTCTCCGAGTCTCCATATGCGCTCCCTCCTGTCTACCCCCTGCTCCTATAAGCACTCCCTCCTGACTGCTCCCAGTCTCTATACGGTCTCCATCCTGACTGCACCCAGTCCGTACACGCACTCTCTCCTGTCTCCTCCCAGTCCCTATACGCACTCTCTCCGGTCTGCTCCCAGTCTCTATACACTCTCACTCTGTCTGTCCCAGTCTCTGTACACTCTCCCTCCTGTATGCTCCCAGTCTGTGTACGTCCTCTCTCCTGTCTCTTCCCAGTCACTATACGCGCTCCCTCCTGTCTGCTCCCAGTCCCAGTGCGCACTCACTCCTGTCTACACCCAGACTTTATACCCTGTCCCTCCTGCCTGCTCCCAGTCTCTATACGCTCTCCCTCCTGACTCTTCACTGGGTCTATACACATTCATGACAACAA